TCCCCTCCCCATCCACTCTCTCTGAAAAGCAATGGAAAAAGTATCCTCGGGTGAAGATTAAAAAAAAAAAGAACTGGAGCATAATAAGAAATACACTATCGCGGCCGGTGTGGCTCAGTTGGTTGAGCATCGTCCCAGACACTGAGAGGTCCCCAGTTAGATTCCCATTCAAGGGCACATGCCCAGGGTTTCAGGCTGGATCCCCAGTGGGGGGCCATGCAGGAGGCAGCCAATCAATGTTTCTCTCTCTCACTGATGTTTCTCTCTCTCTCCCTAAAATCAATAAAAACATTTTAAAAAAAGAAAAANTACTGTTTATATACATATTTTAAATTTATTTTTATATATAGTTGCATGCATGAGTCTTTTTCTTCCTGAGGCATAGTCAATTATTTTGTTTCATCTTTTTAATAATTCATTAAATGTCTCGTTGTTTTAAAAATGCATCAAAATTCATACATTATAATTTGGTATACACCATTTCCTTATGATCTGGATCTCTTTCTACCTTTCCTGATTTTTATTATTAGTACAATGATCTATTCTTGTGACAGAGAATAATATTCTGTGTTCATGAATTACCACAAATTATTTAACTGCTCATTGTTCATAATTACTTTATTCATTTATAAAGACATTCCAGAGAGAAATCCTTTGGAAGTCTTTAAAAAAAAAAAAAAGTTGGATAAAGTAATTTTGAGGTTAGTATGGAAGAATGAATATCTACAAACGGTAGAAAAAAGTTTAAATAAATAAGGACGCCCTAGCTGATTTTCTCAGTGGTCAGTGTCAGTCCATGGACTGAAGGGTCTCAGGTTCGATTCTGGTCAAGGGCACATAAGTACCTCAGTTGTAGGTTCGATTCCTGGCCCTGCTCGGGGTGTGTGCAAGAGGCAACCAATCCATGTGTCTCTCTCACATAGATGTTTCTCTCTCTCTCTCTCTCCTTTCCATTGTCTCTGAAAAGCAATGGAAAAAAATATCCTTGGGTGAGGATTAAAAAATAATAATAATGAGGAAGTAGAATTTATTTTATCAGATAAAAACTGACTATATGGAGATGTAAAGTATAGCATAGGGAATATAGTCAATAATATTGCATTAACTATGTATAGTGCCCGGTGGGTACTGAATTTATTGGGTGATCACTTTGTAAGTTACATAAATGTCTAACTACTGTGTTTTAAATGTGAAACTACTATATTGTATGTCAATTGTAATTTAAAAATTAAAAAACTATTTAAAAACTGACTATAATGAAATGATTATATTGATTTTGGATGATATATATCTTCATAGATATAAATATTCCCATTCAAAACACAGTAGTCCTCCACAAACATTTATGTTCTTTTGAAGTGTTTTAGATAGAGTATATATTGTTTTTCAAGTAGGTTCTGTATCTGCCTTGTGATTATTTTATGGCTAATGTTAGTCCATGCTATTTTCCCCCCAGATTTTCCTTGGAGATTTTAACCTCTTTTATTATATCTTTGTTCTAGTTCATAATTAGGAAAATACCTTACATATTTTTCTTTTGGTTGCATATTTGTCTGTACCATATATTTGCTACTTTTGAATGTTAGTAACAACATTTTTTGGATAGCTTTTCCAGAAAATCAAAGTTTGCCATGAAGTGTTTCTGCAGATTTCATGTTTATGTTAAAATTTTAACCTGTTTTAATATTTGTGAATTACATAAAGGTTTGAGAGCTTCATTTGCTACATAAAATGTGAAAAATGATAACAATACTGTTCATCTAGTTCATGAAAGCCTTTTCCTCCAAAATATAATTATGATATAATTTGATTTTAGATATTATTCATTTAATTGCATCAGGTATGGCTTCATTTTTCAAATATTATGCTTCTTTTAAAGCCTATTACAATTTGAATCTTATCTGAAATTAATATTTGAATTTATCTATAAAGTTCTTATTAATTTGCATAAGAAACAATTCTCTTTAGTGAAACAGTAGGGAATATCAAAAAGATTAAAAAGAGGGTCTAAAGGAAATTATTTGTTACCATTGATAAAAGGGTGAGAGCAAAACAAATACTTCTGAATATTGCACTTTGCTTGCTGTGTCTGTTTCTTTCCAACCTCTCTCCTCATTCCTTCTCAGACTTTGCAGGTTTCTCTTATTTACCTAAAGGACAGCTAAAAGGCATGCTCCAAAATTCAGTTCTAGGATCCTGATTTTTTACTTTTTCTGTTCTCAATCTTTCTGTGATCTTATCCAGTGTCATGGTTGTAAATATTCTTCTTAGGTTGAAGACATTCACATTATGTCTCGAGCCTTGTCCCTTCCACAAAATCTTAACTCCCGGTCAACAATTCCACTGGCATGTCTTATAAGCATGGACTTATCTCCAAGATATGTTCATCTCACACACTTCCCCCTCTCAGTAGATGAAAACTTACCTTTCATCACTCAGGCCCCTAACTTTAGAATTATTCTTTATTCCTCTCTTTCTCTTACATCACATATTCAATCCATCAGTAAGTCCCACCAGCACTCCATTTAAAATATTTATAGAATCTTACCGACTCTTACTATCTTTTCTGCTATACCTATTTCCCAGATCATTGTTAAGGACTCCTATCTAGTCAGGGTAACATTCTTTTTCCCCCCCAGTCCATTTCCTAATCCTCCAAGAGGATTAGAGAAGACTTTTAAGAGAAAAGGCTGTCCCTCAATCAGGCTAGAGGCTCTGTGAAGTGACACCGGAAGACCCACCACTCTGCTTCTGTAACCAACCTAAGACTTCTGCACAGGTGTTAGCTAAGGGCACCTTTGTCACACATAGGACATAGCCTTCTCCTGTTTGGCCTTTGATGTCCACCCACCATGCTTCTGAAGGTGATATATTGATATATTGACCAATAATCAGAAACCTGTGCTTTAGTTCCACATTTTACTTACTGTCAGTTTGACNGAGGCTCTGTGAAGTGACACCTGAAGACCCACCACTCTGCTTCTGTAACCAACCTAAGACTTCTGCACAGGTGTTAGCTAAGGGCACCTTTGTCACACATAGGACATAGCCTTCTCCTGTTTGGCCTTTGATGTCCACCCACCATGCTTCTGAAGGTGATATATTGATATATTGACCAATAATCAGAAACCTGTGCTTTAGTTCCACATTTTACTTACTGTCAGTTTGACTGGCTTCTCTCAACCCCTGTTTACCTATAAATGGCCATAATAATCCCTTCCTACTGAACTTTCAGGAAGTTTTAAAGACAGTGTTAGTACTGAATGTTACATGACAGGAAGCAACAATTTTTGCTTCTACTAAAACATTTGTATTACAAAATGTCACAGAACCCCAAGAAGTATGATTAGACTTCTTTCTAAGATGAGAAAACTATAATCAAGAAGGTTGGTGGCATCTTTTAAGTCACTGAGCTAAAGACTTGTTAAGCTTACACATGAAATCTGTGAATGAAGATGGGCCTCCGTAAGAAATCAGTGACCAAAAGTAACCTCACAGGGTTACTGGGCAGGTCATGGTGGGTAATTATACCCTAGGCCTATAACTTCTTTAGTAAAAGGTTTGTTTATACCTTAAGCAAGACTTATTCATGCTTTTGTGCACCTAGGTTAACAGACCATTGAAATGCCAGAGTAATCCTCTTTTTCAGACTCCTGGGATGCACAACTACCCTCAATGGATCACACAATCTTGTTAACTATCATGTAATATAATCATAGAGACTTCCCTGCCTTGTTTTTCTCCACATTCATATAATCTTACTTATGTTCCCTCCTTAATTCCAAATGTATAAAAAGAACTGCAAAACTGTCGTTCTTGTGAGCATTTGACATCTTGCTTCCAGGCATGTCATCAGTTTGGCTCAAATAAACTCATAAAAATTCTCTCANATATATTGATATATTGACCAATAATCAGAAACCTGTGCTTTAGTTCCACATTTTACTTACTGTCAGTTTGACTGGCTTCTCTCAACCCCTGTTTACCTATAAATGGCCATAATAATCCCTTCCTACTGAACTTTCAGGAAGTTTTAAAGACAGTGTTAGTACTGAATGTTACATGACAGGAAGCAACAATTTTTGCTTCTACTAAAACATTTGTATTACAAAATGTCACAAAACCCCATGAAGTATGATTATACTTCTTTCTAAGATGAGAAAACTATAATCAAGAAGGTTGGTGGCATCTTTTAAGTCACTGAGCTAAAGGCTTGTTAAGCTTACACGTGAAATCTGTGAATGAAGATGGGCCTCCGTAATAAATCAATGACCAAAAGTAACCTCACAGGGTTACTGGGCAGGTCGTGGTGGGTAGTTATACTCGAGGCCTATAACTTCTTTAGTAAAAGGTTTGTTTATACCTTAAGCAAGACTTATTCATGCTTTTGTGCACCTAGGTAAACAGACCATTGAAATGCCTGAGTAATCCTCTTTTTCAGACTCCTGGGATGCACAACTACCCTCAGTGGATCACACAGTCTTGTTAACTGTCATGTAATATAGTCATAGAGACTTCCCTGCCTTGTTTTTCCCCACATTCATATAATCTTACTTATGTTCCCTCCTTAATTCCAAATGTATAAAAAGAACTGCAAAACTGTCGTTCTTGTGAGCATTTGACATCTTGCTTCCAGGCATGTCATCAGTTTGGCTCAAATAAACTCATAAAAATTCTCTCAGGTTTGGACATTCTTGTATTGGTAATATCCTGAGGGTCCAATGAGATAATGAACTTTCCTTTAAGCTGTCATGTGTATTTCAGTTATGGGTTATCATTATTCTTCTAAATTTTTTCCTTTAAGGCCCTCCTCTCAGTACCTGACAATATCTGTGTACCAAAACCTGTAACAATTATAAAGAGTCACATTCAAATAGTGCCTGATAATGTACAAAGCTTTTTAACATTAATTATCTCATTTATTTTCTCTATATGTTGCTTTATTGACAAAGAAACCCTGCCAAACACTCACCATTTAAGATGAGACTTANCTACATTGATATTTATTTGTTTCCCATCGCCTGACAGAGGGTTGCGAATGTAGCAAGCCATATGGCCCTGTGGTTTGCTTCTGAGGAGAAGAGTCATTTTCACATGGAATAATCCGGATCCATCCCGTGCATAGGATTTTGATGAATGTGGAACTACCTCTCCCTTGCTGTCTCTCCACTCCATCTCGGGCTGTGGGAACCAGCCTCCTGAGTCACATTCCACCGTAAGTCCTTTAGTGATATACACCCGAATATGGATCTGTGTTCCCAAGCCCAATGCTGGGCCAATGAGACAGAATCAAGTTAGTTATTGTATTGAGGTTGAGTTGAAAGTTGAAAGGAAAAGGGTTTCATTAATCTTGTATTCTGCAATATCAATGGGGTAATACTCAAATCCACATCCAAGCTACAAGTTAGACTATCTTTGTTCACTCAGCACCATTCATTTACTGCATAGTATATATTCTGCATTAGCCATAAGGGGTTATCTTCTATTTATAACACTTGAAATAGTAAAATATAAAAAGGACAAGAGATTTAAACATGATATATTTTCCACGTATTTCAGCCATAGGGTCATAAGGCCATTGACATGCAATGTTCTATCATAAACCTACCTGCTACACTCAGGTTCATGCTGGCCACATCACTGACGTTACCATCCTTAAATGAACACTGGTACAGTCCATTATCAGAAATGCTGATATTATGAATTCTGAGAGTCACTTTGCCCTCCCCAATGGCCTCTTTCACAAACTCTATGCGATCCACATATTCCTGGGCAGCTTTTCCTTTCACTTCATGGCCATCTCTGTATAGGTGAACAAGCCTGGAATGGTCACCCTTGAACCAGGACACCTCCATGTGTTCTGCACTTTGTGGTGGGGACAACTGGCAGCTAAGCTCAGTCTTTCCTCCTACTGTAGCCACCAAGTGTCCCGTGGGAATGGTCACTGTCCACTTTTCTGTAGAGAAAGATAGAAAAGTAGGATAAAATTTAGGCCAACCACATCTTTGTTGCTATATAGTGAAAGACATGCTGTATTCTTCCTATCTGACATAGCCATTCTAAATATTCAGCTCTGAATATATCCCCTTCTGTTTAAATCAATATTTTATTAATTTTAAAGACCTCTGTTACTACATTATTTTCTTTAAAATATACTCACTTGGGTTCTGGGAAGATGGCAGAGCAGAAAGTACCAGCAATCTGGCTCTCTACCTAGACAACAATTGCAATGGCAGAATCTGTCTGAGGACATATTTTGGAACTCTGGAGTCTATTAGAGGCCTTCAACTTCCAGGATAAAGTTTGGGTGATAGATTGCATTAATTTTGGTCAATTTTAGCTGGTGTCACAGTAGTATATACCCATCCCCCACCCTCAGCACTATGGCAGGCAGCTGGGCAACTCTCCCTGGAGGAGCTTTCACATAGCTTATGGGAGCCCAAGTAAGCAAAAAGGACCCTGTCCTTCAAATACCAGGGATGTGAGCTATGATTGCTGGCTGATTGCTGCTTCCAATCACAGAGATTGGAGGTCAAAGAGGCAAGTGGCCATTTTTGTTGTACCTTTTCTTATTTTTTCAAGCTGCTCCTCTCTAACTAAAGTGACATTCAGGGTATTTAAAGGATCACCATCCTTTCATTCAACACTTCATTTTTCTCTTTTTCCTTTTTGGGAACCAGACATTAAAGATTAGAACATTCAAAAGCAAGTGCCTATATGGGGGAAATTAGAAAGTGACCACATATATCCAGGAAAAGGGACAGGCTCAGAAAAGACCTGAGGAGACAGAAAGCTTACACCTCAAGCTGATCCTTGGCATGCAGACAGCCTATAACAATAAAACAAATCAAAACAAAAACAATAACTGAAAGACAACAAATCCTGGAAGAGAACGGGAATCAGATTTTGAGTTAACACTTTAAATTCCAATGTTTTCATTTAAAAAAAATCACAAAACATACAAAGAAACAAGAAAATATGGCACANTGCAGAAAGTACCAGCAATCTGGCTCTCTACCTAGACAACAATTGCAATGGCAGAATCTGTCTGAGGACATATTTTGGAACTCTGGAGTCTATTAGAGGCCTTCAACTTCCAGGATAAAGTTTGGGTGATAGATTGCATTAATTTTGGTCAATTTTAGCTGGTGTCACAGTAGTATATACCCATCCCCCACCCTCAGCACTATGGCAGGCAGCTGGGCAACTCTCCCTGGAGGAGCTTTCACATAGCTTATGGGAGCCCAAGTAAGCAAAAAGGACCCTGTCCTTCAAATACCAGAGATCTGTGATATGATTGCTGGCTGATTGCTGCTTCCAATCACAGAGATTGGAGGTCAACCGGGCAAGTGGCCATTTTTGTTGTACCTTCTCCTATTTTTTCAAGCTGCTCCTCTCTAACTGAACTGACATTGAGGGTATTTAAAGGATCAGCATCCTTTCATTCAACCCTTCATTTTTCTCTTTGTCCTTTTTGGGAACCAGACATTAAGGATTACAAAATTCAAAAGCAAGTGCCTATATGGGGGAAATTAGAAAGTGACCACATATATCCAGGAAAAGGGACAGGCTCAGAAAAGACCTGAGGAGACAGAAAGCTTACACCTCAAGCTGATCCTTGGCATGCAGACAGCCTATAACAATAAAACCAAACAAAACAAAAACAATAATTAAAAGACAACAAATCCTGGAAAAGAAAGGCAATCAGATTTTGAGTTACCACTTTAAATTCCAATGTTTTCATTTGAAAAGCCACAAAACATACAAAGAAACAGGAAAATATGGCACAATCCACTGATCAAATAAATAAATAGAAACTGTCCTGAAAGAGACCTGATGGCAGATCTACAATTAAAGACTTTAAAATAACTGTCTTAAAGTTGCTCAGAAAACTATAGGAAGAAGTGAGATAGTCAACAACAAAAAAGTATGAACAAAATGAAAATATAAAGACAGACCTGAAAACCTAAAAAGAAAACAAAAGGAAATTCTGGAGCTAAAAAACACAACTGAAATGAAAAATTCACTAGAGAGATTCAAAGGCAGATTTAAACAGGAAGAAAAAGAATCAGTTAACTTGAGGACAGGACAATGGAAATTATTCAGTCTGGGGAACAGAAAGAAGAAAAATTGAAAAAAAGAATTTGTGGGACATCATTGAGTAGACCAATATATTTATTGTATGAGTCCCAAAAGGAGAAGAGAGAGAGAAAGGGACAGAGAGAATATTTGGTATAATAATGGCTGAAAACTCCCCAAATGTGATGAAAGACATGACTATAAACATCTAAGTTCAACAAACTCTAAGATGCACTAAAAGAAAACAACAGGTGTGAGGTGATATCTCATTGTGGTTTTAATTTGTATTTCTCTGATGATTAGTGATGTTGAGCATCTTTTCATATGTCTGGTGGCCATCTGTATGTTCTCTTAAGAGAAGTGTCTACTCAGGTCTTTTGCCCATTTTTTAATTGGATTGTTTTTAGTGTTTTTTTTTTGGTGTTGAGCAGCCCAAATGTCCATTAGGAGGTGAGTGGATGAAAAAGCTGTTTTACATTTACACAATGGAATACTATTCTGCTGTAAAAAGAAAGAAAATTTTACCCTCTGCAACAGCATGGAGGGATCTGGAGAACATTATGCTAAGTGAGGTAAGCCAGTCAGAGAAAGACAAGTACCCTATGATTCCACTCATATGTGGAATTTAATGAACAAACTGAACTTCCAAGCAAAGTGGAGACAGACTCATAGACAGAGAGCAGGCAGACAGCTCTGGTGGCGGCAGTGGTGGTGGGGAATGTTGTGTGTGTGTGTGTGTGTGTGTGTGTGTGTGTGTGTGTGTGTGTGTGGAGGGACTGAGCAAAAAACAAAAAAAGAAAGAGAACTCATGGACATGGACATCAGTGTGGTGATTGCGGGAGGAGGGGAAATGGAAAAGGGCATAGAGGGGATAAATGGTGATGGGAAAAAATAAAATAAAATTTAAAAATAAAAAGAACAAGATCATATTTCACAACGGTTACTCTTCCCCTTCCCCTGCCTAAAGCATGAGGGGATTTTTCTCCAGTATTCACTGTGAGATCCTAGTAAAAATCCTGGAGGCAAAATTCACAAAAGTGAGCTCTCCCATGACTGGGCCTTCTAGGAGCTTTTAACTCTCAGACTTGTCCACTCGGAGCCTCCAGCAATTCAGTAATTACAGCTTAGGTATCTCTACCCTCGTACTGGTTTCCACAGAGGTTTCTAGTGTGGAGGTTGTGAGTCTCTAACTCTCCACCTGTCTAACTCCCCCATTTGTGGGACAGCAATTTGTCCTATGATCTCACTTCCCTGTTGGACCTAAAAAGAGTTGTTGATTTTCAGTTTTTTTTCACCTTTTTAACTTGATGTTAGGATGCATTGATGACTTCCAAGCTCTTTACATGCTGAACTGGACACAGGAAATGTGCCCTCGGTTCTCTCCATAGCTGTGACTCAGTGAGAAAAAAGCAGATGGTCTTACCTGATGCTGATGCCGTCACTTGTAAGAGAAGAAAGCCCACATAGCACCCAGAAAGAGAAGAGGGTTTGGGCTCCATCATGCCTGGGAAGGAGACAAGAAGGAAGTCACAGATATGGGATATTGGTAGGAATTGTCAAGATACGCGAAATTAAATCATGATCACAAAGAGGGACAACCTTGAGGCTCTTCTTTCAGAGTATAAGTGCTCTCAGTGCTCAACAAAAAGGCCATGTCCACCCAAAGCGAAGGTCTTCCCAGTCCCTTTCCCCCCTGAATCACACTCCGCTTTCTCTCTCTCTTTCATGTTGCGACCTAACCTACTAAGTGAACATTTTCTGTAGTAGGTGTAACAAAGGTAACAGAAAAAACATTCTAAAGTGGATGAACTGGGAGGCGAAACAAAAAATGGAAGCATGGCAGTGGGAATGCCCGAGTGTGCGTGTTAAAGCGAGGAAAGTCGTTTTTGATCCTATTCTTGAACAATTAAGATGAAACCAAATTCTGGTGGAACTCAAACAGCTTGTTAATAATTTTTTTAAATCCTCACCCAAGGAGTAAGGATATTTTTCCCATTGATTTTTTTTTACTTTAAAAAATTTTTTTTTGGAGAGAGAGTGGAAAGGAGAGGGGAAGGAGAGAGAGAGAAACATCGATGTGAGAGACGCATCTATTGGTTGTCCTCCACAAGCACCCCTACGGGGGGCAGGGATGGAACCTGAACCCAGGTACACGCCCCTGACCAGGAATAGTACCCGCAACCCTCCAGTGCACAGGCCGACACTAACCACTGAGCCACGTGGGCCAGGGTGATAATTTTATACATTACTTATAAAAAAGGAAAGGCTGCTGAAATGTTAACTGGACTTCCTATTTTATCTGCACCCTACTCTAACTCATAGTCACAAATGTGAGTTGATTCACAAGGTAATAAGTAAAAAAAACAGCAAAAACTTACATATGAACGACCACCAAAAAAGTGGTCACATAATATATCTTAAAGGGAGATGTAGGACTTTATTAAAATCATAGCCATATGCTAAAGAAATGAATCAAGGTTTGAAGGAAGAAATTCCTGTGGTCCTAAACAAAACAAAATCTATGTACTATTGAAAAAAAGAGGTTTCTTTGGTCTATATAAAGCCAATGTGAAAAAAAATTTAAAGCAAAGTGTTTTATATTTTATTATTTTACATATCCGACAGATATGACACATGATTATCAGCAACACTGGCCCACTGGGCTGGCCACATCTGGGTGTGTACAGACAGGTTGGTAGGTTGGCATACCACCAGGAAAAGCAGATTACAATTTCCAGAGACATGCAGTAATCTCTAGGTGACTCATAGTTTCTTGGTTATCTCCCTCCTTTACCACTCCCATTCAGATCAGTAACTTAAACCTTAAATCTATGAAAGACAAATACTTTTTTTAAAAAGCAAGCTGTAAGAGAAATAAAACCACATGTCTGTATTAAGACTTATATCCAAGTGTTAATAATGTCTTACTTGTGATACTCAACAGCTGGAAATCATAGTCAATAACTAGAAATGGACAAGCAGGTTGTGGTACATCTATATGATGTAATATACTCAGCAAGAAAAAGGAATTAACCGTTTTTACACATGTGTGAATCTCAAAAGGACTGTGCTGTGCTAAAGAAGTCAGATAGAAAAAAAATGGTCCATACTGTGTGAGTATATGAATATAAAATTCTAGAAATTGCAAATAACCCCTGCGGTTGCTTGAGGAAGGGAAAATAGAGAGGAGGGAACAAATACCAAGGTGCTGACTTTTCCATCACGCTGGGAGTGACGGATGTGTTCAATATACTGGTTAGAGATAGTTTCCCAGCTGTATACAGATGTAACCTTAAATTATCCAACTTCAGCATACGCAATTGGTTGTATGTCAATTGTACCTCAATAAATGCTTTTTGTAAAATCTACTTTTAAAAATGCAATTAAATATTAGTAATAACCTTTTATGAAGTATTTATATTTAATAACTGTACCACTTATCTCAGGTCTAAAACACTCGCATCATTGTAACTTTTCTTTGAAATGTTTAAAACAGAGTCTGGGGCCCTGGCCGGTTGGCTCAGTTGGTTGGACCATCATCAGGCACCAAAAGATTGAGGGGCCGCACGGAGGCAAAGGATAGGTCTCTCTCTCTCTCTCTCAAAATCAGTAAAAACGTGTCCTTGAATGAAGATTAAAAAAAGAGAGACTGGGGAAGGGGCGCCATTTCCGGGACCCAGAGCAGGTGGAACCCGTTTTTAATTAGAAAGCCAATACTGAAATTTGAAAGCAGGTCTTCTCCTTTGAAACAACTCACGCCTGTTAACTTTGGAAATCCCAGATGACACTATTCTGTGATGAAGAGCTTGGTAAGGCATTCCAGGATTAGAACTAAAAGATGCACTAACCCCGTGCTCAGGAGGTGGCTATCGCCTTGTCCCCAACCACTGTTCACAATCTGATCACTTACCTGAGCTCAGGGATCCAGAGGCTATTTCTTTGCAGGTTCTTCAGAAAGTCGCCTCAGCGCCTCCAGGAGACTCAGCAGCGCTCCTCCTCCAGTAGCTGGTAACAGGCCGGCTCTGGTGCTGTTTGCCAGGAGCTTCCACCTACTGCCTGCTGGAGAAACTTGTTTTTCTTTCTGAAAATCTAAAAGTCCCTTCATAGGGAAAACAGTAAGGTGTCTGTTTCACACATTATAAAATCTCAAATCAATTTGCAGCTAAGTCTTGCATTACCGAAGAGAACTCCATGTTATATTTGCAAGAGACAGGTCCCAACACGACGTGCCTTAATCTGAAATGACATCTAAGCTCAGGCATCTTTCTACACATATTTTCCCGGGATCTTTCCTTGACATCATGAGAATGCTAAGACCAACCTAAGGGGCGTTCTTCCTCTTATTAAGTTACATGCCCTGTAAGTTATCTTTATAAACACAATTTGGAGTTTCATCTTACTCATCCCCCCCTACTGAACACTCTTTTACTTCCCCACACCAGTGCTGTTTCCTTCCTGAAAACCGTATTACATCCAATTTAGAGAAGAACACTGGAAAATAATATTAAGAGCTTTTTAAAACTAACCAAACAATGGATCTTTTAAATTAAGAGGAACCTGGATGAGGCTTGGGTATTATTGACATCTTAACAATCTTAAGTCTTCGAATCCTTGACCTCAGGATGTATTTCCATTTATTATGTCTTCTTTAACTTCTTTCAGAAATGTTTTCAGTTTTTATTGTACAAGTTTTCACTTCCTTGATTAATTCCTGAGTATTTTATTCTTTTCAATGCAATTCCTGTCAAAATCTCAATGATGTTTTCTGAAGAAATAGGAAAACCCATCCTAAAATTTATATGGAATCTCAAGGTAACTCAGTCAAAACAGTAGTGAAGAGGAACAAAATTGGAAGAATCACACTCCATGATTTCAAAACTTACTGCAAATCTACAGTAATCNAAACTCAGCCAAAACAATAGTGAAAAGGAACAAAATTGGAAGAATCACACTCCATGATTTCAAAACTTCCTGCAAATCTACAGTAATCAAAGCAATGTGAGGTTGGCATAAAATTAGATACATAGACCAGTGGGAGAGAACAGAGAGCCCAGAAATGAAGCTTCACATATATAGTAAATGATCTTACAAAAGAGTGCTAAGATCACTCAGTGGTGAAAGGAGAGTCTTCTGAACTATTAGTGCTGGGAAAACTGGATATTCACATGCAAAAGAAGAAAGCTGGACGCTTGCTTTACATATACAAAATGGATTAAAGGCCTAAATATAAGAGCTAAAATTATAGAGCTCTTAGATGGAAACATAGGGGGAAATCTCATGATATTAGACTGAATGATGGTTCCTTGGTTATGACGCCAAGAGCATAGGCCACAAAAGAAAAAATAGATATATTTGGCCACATCAAAATTACACAGACAACTGCAGACATTTGCATATTTTCAGAAAGACGTTGGGAGAGTTACACAGAGAACTTGCAAAGAATATTCAAGTTTGAGAGGAGAGAAATGGAGTCAGGGATTTTTCTGACACTGGCTCCCGCATGCCAGGGATGTCTGAGAACTTGTGACATTTTGCTTCAAAATAAAACACTCAGTGAGCCCCTCACTTATCTACAGATATTTTATGTAGATAAATACATTCAACATGACACAGTGAGGGAGGGAGTGAAGAAAGGACAGTCACCTAGTGGTCTCTGCCCAGAGGGACAGTGGGATGGAAGATGCTAAAATTTGTCCTATCCCCCCGCCCATGGCCATCTCTTATACTGCATGTTCTGAAAAGTGCAAACTCTCCTTGTCCTGGGAACCACAAGGGTCTGAATTACCTGCTCTCCAGGCCAAGGC